TGCAGCGCAGCAGAGCTCAGCGCGCTCGGGTGCAGCGCCAGGCAGTTAGGTGCAACGCAGCTAGGCACAGCGCGCTCGGGTGCAGTGCAGCGACCCGCACGACGCAGCGCAGCAGGGTGCAGCGCAGCAAAGCAGGGCGCTGCAACACGGTGCCATCGAGCACAGCGGGGGCAGCAGAGCACGGTGCCACGCAGCAGGACGCAGTGCAGTGAGGTGCAGGAGGGTGTAGCTGCAGAGCAGCAAAGCAGGGCGCTGCAACACGGTGCCATCGAGCACAGCGGGGGCAGCAGAGCACGGTGCCACGCAGCAGGACGCAGTGCAGTGAGGTGCAGGAGGGTGCAGATTTGCCCAGCGGAGCGACAGGAGAAATCGAGAGCAATTCCTGCATTTTAAGAGAGAGAAAACCATCTCGTGTTTAAGCCAAGGAAAGTAATCCTCAAGTTAAATGCGTGGGCATTATTTTTTTCCCCCTCTTTGCTAGGGAGGGACTGAGATCACTTCCAAAAAGGAAACGCGCCGACAGCAAAACGCCAACGGCACACACGCTCTGGTTACAACCGTTTGCCTGCGACCCGAGCAACCGCCCAGCTTCCCTCCTTTCCCTAGCGTGACATGGAAATAAAGCCAAAGAGAGGCACGAGGGTGCAGGCAGTACTCAGAGAGAGGTAGAAAAACGACCTCAGTTGTGCAGTTTCTCAGCAGGATGCGGTTTAATCTCCCTTCGGAACAAAGCGCAAGCTCGCAACCAATGCTATTTACATCCCTTTTATTTTCTCTAGAAAAAAAATCAGGACACGGAGGGGTAGATTTACAGGACACGGCCGACAGCGCCTCGCGGGGACGGTGTAAAAAGGATCACGTCAAAGGAAACGTGCCTGTAAAGCAGCCAGCAAAGCCGCGGCTGCAGCTGCACGATGCGGGCCGGGACCCGGCCGTCGCTCGCGAAACAGGTCCGAACCCCTTTGGCACGCGGGTGCTTCGCCCGCTCTGCTTTCTCCCGCCGTGGGCGACGCAAGGAGAGAAGCAGCAGCGAGGAGTCAGCGTGTTTAAGGACTTCCCCAGCTCCCGTTTAGATTTCTTCAAGCCCCGTGGATTAGTAGGTGAGGGAAATCATGGCATTTTTTTTTTTTTTTGTACAGAAATACAATATGTTTATGCACAGACTATTTACAGTTAAGCCCTCTCTTGCATACGGTCACCGCCGGGGAAACCCTAAATATTTCCCAGCGAGACCCGCTGGGGAATCCGCGCCGGACGGACGCCCTAGCGCGACAGCGGAGAAAAAGCTGCTGAATGATCAAAGATTCGCCGTCAGGGGAACGA